AATAAGAATTGATTGAAATTTGGTATGTCGACTTTTCTTTATTATGGTCTTGGTCCTGTCTAATCAAGTAAAAACCCCAATGTTTATAAAGTTTAAATCTTTTGAACCCATTTAATATTTTCTCATAATTATTGATATATATTATTTAAGCACTAGAATTTGCAATCTTGATAGACGTAAAACTTTGGCAAAGTTTATTGATAAATGTAATTTAGTGATAGTAAATCCTAATAATTAAGACGGACATGTTTTTAAAATCTAAATAGTCGTTACAAAATTGTCAATCGAAGGGCATCAAATTATCGATATCTTAACAAACTATCGTTAAGTTGGAAATCTCTGACTGCCATCCCTAATAGCGTGTTCACGAGAACACAACATAAAAAAATATGATTTTAAATAACATGAAGAGTATCAAAAGGAAAACAAATTCAAAACCCGCTCCGGCTGCCATGGAAGTGGAGGAGAGTGAACCGGAGGAGGCGCCTGCAGATGAGCCACAGAAGCAGACTGGGGAGTCAAATGCCTCAGATGACGACGATGAAATGGACCTGGCCAGCTTCAAAGTCAGCTCCAGCACCTCCGCACCCACCAAAAAACGCAAGAAGGGCATTATCTACATATCCAATATACCCAAACACATGAATGTGACCCGTCTGAGAGAAATCCTGGGCGAGTACGGAACCATTGGAAGGGTTTACCTGCAGCCGGAGAAGCTGTCAAGTGAGTTGAGCTAGGGGATTGCTTTATAGAAGTATCTACTGTCTTCCTCTGTAGTTTTACTTACTTTATACGCCTCTTGGAACATGTTATCTTATCCAGATTTATCCCACACAGGTGCCAAGGCCAAGAAGAACAAGCGAAAGCGCTACAACATCCACTTCACCGAAGGCTGGGTGGAGTTCGAGTCGAAGCGAGTGGCCAAGCAGATCGTTCCCCTGCTGAACAACAAGCAGATCTCTACGCGAAAGAAGTCGCAGTTCTACGACTCGCTGTGGTCCATGAAGTACCTGCCCCGGTTCAAGTGGGTGCACCTCACCGAGCGGATGAACTACGAGCAGGCGGTGCACAAGCAGCGGCTCCACACCGAGGTCTCGCAGGCCCGCAAGGAGACCACCTTCTTCCAGAACAACCTCGACAAGAGCGAGTTCCTCAAGAAGCAGGCCAAGAAGGCCAAGAAAGCCGAAAAGCAGGCTGCCAATGGCGAGAGTGAGGCCTGAGCCCTCCACAGACTGTTGTTTCTATGTTTACCTGGTCGGAAATAAACTTAAATTAAGCGAGTGCATTTTGGTAAAACCTTTTTAAGACTGGGTTTGTTTTAAGGACTTAATTGCCCTAATTGGCTCGTTTAAATTTCCCGCTCTTTTGTTATCGATAATTCCAAAATCGTTACTGGGGTTGGAGATATCTTTGCTTTTGGTATTTTTTGAAAGCTAGAAAAATGTTTGGTATATTGCTTAAGCAGAAGTAATTATCATTATTGAGAGCCGGTCACACTGCATTCCACCATTTTCTTTGTCGCTTTGTTGCGCCCGTGTGGTATTCGAAAATTCTGTGATCAAAAACCGACTAATTACGCATAGAAAATGGTAAATTTAAAACGAACAATTAAGCTTTTCGTATTGTTTACGGTGCGGACGAGCGGTGTGGAGTGAATTCGGGGAGTTTTCATTGATAATTCCGGGCAAATCGGCGTTTTCATTTGCCGGGTGTGTGTGAGGCACAAGCCACTTTGACAGGCGGCTTTGCACGTGAGCTGTGTGGATTCCAACTTCGATTTGGGTTTCCAGAAGGTTCTCCTCCCGATCCCTTGATCCTTGTGCTGCTTGCTCATTTCTCTCGGAGATCAGACCGATGAACCAGCCAAGAACCTTCCAGATGCAATCCACGCCGTTTTCGCGGCCGATGAATCACTCGGCGCCGCTCTCTCGCCCTCCATTTTTGGGGGTTAGGTCGAGCCGATATGGCTGCACGGAGAGAAAAACATAACAACATACAGATTCTATATATTTTTGAGCTAAAAAACCATCTGGCTTGCAGCCCTCACAATTTTGGATCATTTAACGACTAATCTTTGTCAGAGTTTGGAGCATATTGGTCCGCCATCTGAACATGATAAAACAAGCTTGATCCATGGTATTCTTATAGTAATATTTTGAAATCTGATATTGATATCTCGCCTACAGAGTTGGTTTTAACTAAAAAATATATAATTAAAACGAAAATCATTTTCATTTAAGAAATGCTAATGTGATTTTAAAGTGCTAACTGATGTCACCTTCTTTCCGATCTTTGGATTTCTCAGCATTGCGTTCAATGGATTACCTTTACCAAAAATGTTTTCAAATATAATTTAAAACGAACTATTCTTTCGCAAATTGTTGTTTAAAGTTTCAATATTTTTTATAAACGTTTTTTCTGGAGGCTAAAAACAGTAGACTACTATCGTTTTTGTAATGTTGGTAATTAAATAAAAACTCATAAAATACTTGCTATTCTTGCAGGAGATGTCCTTGAATCCCGTGCGCGTGCTCAAGAATGAGGCGCAGGAGGAGAAGGCCGAGATGGCCCGCCTGTCCTCGTTCATTGGCGCCATCGCTATCGGGGATCTGGTGAAGAGCACCCTGGGCCCCAAGGGCATGGACAAGATCCTGGTGGCCACCGGCCGCAATGCCGGCCAGGTGGAGGTGACCAACGATGGTGCAACAATTCTGCGTGCCGTCGGTGTCGACAATCCGGCCGCCAAGATCCTGGTCGACATGTCGCGTGTCCAGGACGAGGAGGTGGGCGACGGCACCACCTCGGTCACCGTGTTGGCCTCGGAGCTGCTGCGCGAGGCTGAGAAACTGGTCGAACAGAAGCTGCACCCACAGATCATCGTCTCTGGCTGGCGCCAGGCCACCCAGGTGGCCCTGGAGGCGCTCACCGCCGCCTCTCAGGACAACTCGTCCAGCAACGAGAAGTTCCGCAACGATCTGCTCAACATTGCCCGCACCACGCTCTCCTCGAAGATCCTGCACCAGCACAAGGACTTCTTCGCCAACCTGGCCGTGGACGCTGTGATGCGTCTGAAGGGCTCCGGCGAACTGAAGTCCATTCAGATCATCAAGAAATCGGGCGGCACGCTGGAGGACTCCTTCCTGGACGAGGGCTTCCTGCTGGACAAGAAGCCCGGCGTGCACCAGCCACAGCGTGTAAGTGGTTTTGGCTATTGGTGGTTACACATTATAAGATTCCTTCTCTTATGCCTCTGCTACTGCTGTCTATTAACGCGTCAAAATGACTGTGAACTATGTGGATTTGACTTCATATCACAGCCATTTTGACGAGTTTGGTGGGCAGGCACATCATCGATGTCCGATCCAAGTGAACGATTAATACCTAATCCTCCCAGATCATCAGCATCTCATCCAAGTCCCTCGCTTTTTCCCCTTCCCGCAGATCGAGAATGCCAAAATTCTGATTGCCAACACGCCCATGGACACCGACAAGATCAAGGTGTTCGGCAGCAGCATCAAGGTCGATTCACTGGCCAAGATCGCCGACTTGGAGATGGCCGAGAAGGAGAAGATGAAGGAAAAGGTGGACAAGATCCTGAAGCATCAGTGCAACGTGTTCATCAACCGCCAGTTGATCTACAACTATCCGGAGCAGCTGTTCGCCGATGCCCAAGTGATGTCCATCGAGCATGCCGACTTCGATGGCATCGAACGTTTGGCCTACTGCACCGGCGGCGAGATCGTCTCCACCTTCGAGAATCCCTCGCTGGTGAAGCTGGGCGAGTGCGATGTCATCGAGCAGGTGATGATCGGCGAGGACACACTGCTGCGCTTCAGCGGCGTCAAGCTGGGCGAGGCCTGCACCATCGTGATCCGCGGCGCCACCCAACAGATCCTCGACGAGGCCGATCGCTCCCTGCACGACGCCCTGTGCGTGCTGGCTGCCACCGTCAAGGAGTCGCGCATCATCTACGGTGGCGGCTGCTCGGAGGCGCTGATGGCCAACGCGGTGCTGAAGAAGGCTGCCGAGACTCCCGGCAAGGAAGCCATCGCCATTGAGGCCTTTGCCCGTGAGTTTATATTGCTTTGGGACTCTTAAATTTGAATCCCTATTTACAATAATCTGCCTGCATTGTAGGTGCCCTGCTGTCGCTGCCCACGGCCATTGCCGACAATGCCGGCTACGATTCCGCCCAGTTGATCTCGGAGCTGCGCGCCGCCCACGCCCAGGGCAAACAGACTCTGGGTCTGGACATGGAGCTGGGCAAGGTGGCCGACGTTCGCGAGCTGGGCATCACCGAGTCCTTTGCCGTGAAGCGCCAGGTTCTGATGTCCGCCTCCGAGGCTGCCGAGATGATCCTGCGCGTGGACAACATCATCCAGTGCGCTCCACGCCGACGCGTTCCCGACAGGGGCTACTGCTAGACGCTTAAGAAGTATTCTCGTTCTAGGATCCTATTTTTTTTAATTATGAACTCTCGTTTAACATCATCGCTCTAATCTTATACGTTTTGTTTACACTAATAACCCCACACACCACACACTACACACATTAGCATTTATATTGCATCCCCCAAGAAGAAGAAAACAAAACACTAAATCGCACACTTTCTCTCGCTAAATTTGTCCCTTTCGTATAATTCTTTCACTTAATTGTTAAACAAATTGATATGTTGCAAGCCGAGCTTTTGATTCGATAAGGTGGATATGGGTGCGATCAAACAAAAACATTTCAAAAATGTCTAAAACACCATCAAAACCAAAACCAACAAATAAACAAACTTGTAAATGAATACAATTTTTGTAAACATTTTATGTGTGCAAATTGAAGACCATTAAACAGCAAGAAAAAAAAACTGAAATAAATGATAATATATTTATGCTTAACAAAACTATACGAAATGCGTTTTTTATTATAACAGCTTTAATGATAAAAATAAATAATTAAACATCTAATTTGACACATTTATTGATCATTTCCGCCCACAAAAACACTCGACGAACATTGCAAACACATTTTTATTGTAAATCTTGCTGCGTGTTCAACTTTACAATTCAAACGTATAATATAAAATAGGAGCATTTAAAATACAAAAGTTAAAACAATCAAGTGTCGTCGCTGTGAAACAGCCGCAAGTACAAAAAAAAAACAAATTTGTAACGAGCAGCGCGAGTTGACCTACTAAAAGGATTGGGGGTTTAGGATCGCTTTTTGGGCTGAACTCTTGGAGTATCTTTCCAAAAGGGTCTACATTTACGTGGGCTAATTACCATACTGAATTGGCCCGATTTCGGTTGGCTTCTTTTTTTTTTTATATATACCTTTCGTCAAAAACAAAATAAAGATGCATATTGTTTTTTTGGAGGAGAGGTTGACGTTGGTCAAAAGAATATATATACAGGCGCCCCCTGACTGAACTTATCGATGGGCTTGGGTCAGAGGTCATAAGGAAAGAGACAAAAGACGTAAAAGGCGGGTTCGAAAGAGAGAGAGAGAGAGATGCGCTAAAGTGCGAGTGAGCGAGAAGGAGAACGGACGTGTCCAGAGTTGCAGAGATTGGCATTATTAAGTGAGCGGGTGCTTCAGGAGATGGCGCACTCCATCTCGCCGTGCTTGGGCACACAGTCCAGCACCAGAGCCACCGCCCGGGACATGTAGGTCATGGTTCCATAACTACCGCTGGGAGCACTGCAATAGAGAGGTCAACAATTAGTAAGAGAATTTTGTAATTTAGGCTAATTTATGGCTTTGCATCTAAGAGGATGGTAAAGATATGCCCCAAATCCTACCCACATTCCCTTTTAAATCTTAGTGACTCTTACCTGTCGTAAAGGTGCTGGCATATGTAGGCGGCGCCGCCGCAGAGAAGCATTCCGGAGGCGGCCTGCTGCTGCTCCTTGCCGTCCTTGATCTTGGCGCAGCACAGGGTGGCGTCGCCCTGCACCTTGCGCTGATCCTCGAGGAACAGCTGGTTGGCCTTGTGGACGAGATGCTCCACGTAAATGATGCCGCCCAGCGTGGGCACCATATTGTGCTCGGTGACGAGGGTGAGCACCATGAGGGCCTCGACCACCAGCTGCCGGTATTCGGGCTGTGGTATCTGATTGAGGGCCGTCTCCACCTCCAGGGCAAACTTCAGCTCGCCCGGTGTCATCTCCTGGGTGAGACTCTGCTGCAGGACACGTCCCTCGATGGCCAGACCCTGGCACTTCTCCAGCACGGTCCACACACGCGAATAGAAGTCGCGGGGCACCCGATTCAGGGCACCGTCCAGTCGCCGGCGGCGCAGCCACTGCCCCTGCCTGTCGTCAATGGTGGCTACCAGTGCGTCCTCGCCCTCCGGATCGCCCAGACCGATCTGGCTCTTCTTGCTGACGCGGCTGCTCTTGCAGCTCACAATGGACAGATTGCCACGCGCCACTGGAACATTGATGAATATGAATATGAATATTTATACTTGTATATATATTTATTTCAAGAGGACCACTTACCGCTGCTGACGGCAAACTCCTTGCCGCTGAGTATGTGGTACAGGAGATTCTTCATCTCGAAGGGCGAGAGGTTAAGTAAATGCTCCGACGCCGCCTCGCCGTCGCAGTTGAGGGTGCGCGACAGCTCCTTGGCCATCACCTGGATGATCAGGCCCACGCGCAGGCGCAGCATTTCGTGGAACAGCTGCGGCTCGGTGCGAATGAACATGGCCAGGTAGACCATCAGCTCCTGCGTCAGCATCGCCGTGCTCTCATCGTCGCCGTAGGCCTGGTTAAGAGCAGGATAAAGGGTTTAAGTTAATAGCTTGGTTATTTTATGGTTCTGGGTTGTTATATGTTTCTTTGGTCCATATCTATCGGCACACTAAAATTTAATCAAATCGAAACAATACTTTTGAAGTTATTAGAAAAGTTTCAATTATGACGTCATAATTGAAAAACAGAGTTCATATATTTGAGAAAGCGAAAGAAAGCTAAATAACTATCTTTAGCTTATTTGTACGGCAGATGGCGCCCAATTGTTATGTGTGGGCACATTTATTTTGAAATTGGTTTAGCTAAGTTATGGGTATCCAATAGTGGAGAGGGCACTTGTTTTATTTGTGAATTACTTACATCATGGATGAGCTGTCGCAGCTCGACTTCCGGCAGTGGTGCCGTGATGGTGTGCTCGTTGTTGGGCGGCATTCCCACGGTGACCTGCTTCTGCCGGACGAGCAGATCGGTGACCGCCTTGGCCAGATCCTCCACCCGCTTGCCCAGCATGCCGGCCGTGTGGCGGACGAGTCCCCAGAGCTTCTGCTGGCAGGCCTTCTCGTACAGTCCCTTCAGCAGATCCCGCACGGTCACCACGCGTCCCTCCTCCAGCATTCCTTCGGATTGGGAAGAATCGTGGTTATTCTCATGTGGGCTCATGTTGTTGTGATTGCTGATGTTGCTGCTGATGTTGCTGCTGCTGCTAACGTTGCTCGCGTTGCTCGTGTTGCCGATGCAATGCATATTGCTGTTGGCGGTGGCGGTGGCAATGGCAATGGCGGAACTGGAATTGACTGCATTATCCGGATCACTGCTATTGGGGGCTGGAATTGTAACAGCTTCGATGATCACCGTTGGCAGGGCCATCGTTGGGCTCTTTTTGGAACCAGAACCACCTGAACCACCTGAACCAACTGCACCTGCTGCAGCACCACCACCAGCCAGTTCCAGCACCACCTCATCCACAAACGCTTGTTCGAGCTCTTTGATTTTAGGTTTTCATTATGGGTTAGTTGGGTAAGGATTGTATTTTTGGTTGGCAGCATGGAATTTCGTTGCATTTTTGGGTTAATGTGAATGAAGAGAGCGCAGGAAGCATGCGGAATGTGTGTGTGTGTGTGTTTCATGTGGGGTTAGATGCGTGGTCGGGCGGAGAAAGTAAAATAAAGTGTTAAAGAATTAAATTACGCTTGAATAACATGGCCAAAAATAAATATATATATGTGTGCGGTTAATAATGCTAATTAAAACATTACTTAAAGCAAAGCGGTCTTTTTTGATGATATACTTGTATTTTATGGTAAATAAAGCCCAACTTCTTATAATTAATTTAATTTAATTAATAATTAAATCAATTTAAATTATAAATAGTTAAAGCAAAATTAATAAATATAAGTAAGATTGTTATTTTCATTGATTTATTTAAAATAGGTTTTAAAACCTCAGAAAATCCAATGAAAAGCCCCCACATTAAAAATAATATTGCAATAAAATAATATTTTAATAGAGCAGAGCCCAAAGCAAAGCGGTGATGCAAATCAGATGGTATGCCACATATCACACAAAAATAAACACCAAAGAGGAAAATATTATATAGAGGATGGTAACCATAAAATGTGGGAATATGTATATATATATATAGATATACAGCAATCGAATTCTTGGCCAATCGGTGGGAGAGAGTATACATGTATTTGGAGAAAGGAGTAGGGTATGGGATGCCGGGAATTTCCAATGGATGTGTATGTACGTCTACAATACCCGCACAACAACAACAATCAACACAAGACGGATCGACGGATCGACGGACTTACCGGCGGCTGCATTATTTGCACTGGCGGTCGCATTGTCATCCGATTTATTCTTGAATCCCAGACCAGCTGTTATACGCCGTGGACGAGTACGGTACGATTACGGTACGGAGGACGAAGTACGAGGTACGGGACAAAACGACAGGAGTACGAGGTAAGAACAACGGAATGAGATCAGGATATGCACAAATAGTTCAATATGCTCAGTTCTTTCTGTTCTTCGAAAGCCCACTATAATAGTTAAAGGGTGACAAACTTAACTGATAGTACAGGAGGACCAAACCGACCTTCTCTTTTAACTAAGATTCTAATTCCTTCTCATATAATATTTTAAAAGAAAAAAAGAATTTCAGGTATCGGTTAAAGCTATCTTAAAGTTCAAAAACTAAGTTGTTGTAGCAAGACCCATTCTTCCATCAATGTATAAACAATGTCTAGCCTAAAACATTTAAACCCCAAGTTAAGAGTTAACCGGAAGTATAACAGTGTGAGTGTCTTTACTTTCAATATTAATTAATAAAAAAAGAATTTTAAGTTTCGGTTACTATCATTCTTACTTAAATGTTGTAACAAGACATGTTTTCCCATAAACAATCATAGCCTAAAACAAATAAACCCCCCGGAGTTAAGAGTTAACCGGATGTATAACAGTGTGAGCGTTTTTACTATTAATATTAATAAAAAAAAAATGAATTTTAAGTGTCGGTTACTATCACTCTTACTTAAATGTTGTAACGAGACATATTTTCCCATAAATGTGTAAACCATTTTGTAGCCTAAAACATTTAAACCCCAAGAGTTAAGAGTTAACCGGATGTATAACAGTGTGAGCGTGTAACGGCGTGTGTTCTTCGCAAGTGCATGTGTTTTAGAGCAGGTGTGTGTATATAAATGTATTATTTTTGGTGGTCTCTTCTTAACCCGTATGTAAAAAAACCTCCATTTGAAAAGCATTAAGCCACGTTTAACTACGTGGTATACATATATGGTTTTTTGTATAACTTAGCTCGACTTACCCGTGTTAAAGTCCAGACCCTGTGTGTCCACCAGGTACTGCAGGATGTCGCCCTGCTCCTCGAGATTCTCCGTTTCGCGCAGCATCGCAATCAGCTCCTCCACCTCTGTTTCCGCGAAATTGGTTTCGGCACGATGGCGTTGTATGAGAATTTTGGGCACTGTTACTATCAACGTCGCATTTCGGAACGAAGATGGGCCAATCGAAATTATACGCAAGAAATGAATGAAAACAGAAGGCAAGAACCAGAACGAAAAATTAACAAAAGTATAGAAATCAAGAGGAAACAACCTATCAAAGGCAGGTTGTCAACCTGAAAAATCATAAGTAATGTCAATATTTCAATATAAATCGACGTGCTGAAGCTGAGTTTTTAAAACTAAACTAAACAACTAATGTTTGATTTAATAATAATCATAATTTTAACCCACCTTCAACAAATCCCAAAAATTTGTACTTATAAAATGAAGACTAACTTTAAAACAAGAAAGGAAGCATTATTCGGCAAGCCGAAGTTTATATACTCTTGCAGCTATTACAAAACTATAGTATTTAACAAAACGAATATATATATCGATTTTTATGCGTAAATGTTTAAAAACAATTAAGCTATGTCGATTTTCCGATGAGTTTTTCAATCGTTTCTATGGCAGCTACGACATGATATCATTGTCCGATTTAAATGTAATTAAACCGTATTGCTTAAATAGTGTATCATCACTGTATTATTTATATTTCCTTCCTATTGCTAGCTATATTAAATAGTCATTCCGACTTATATACTACCTGCAATAGAAAGAAGACTTTTAAGAAAGTGTCATCCAGATAGATGTCAAACTGAAAGACTAGTTTGTGTGGAAACGGACAGAGGAACGGACAGACAAACGGACATGGCTAGATAGACTCTCCTTATCACCTTATGCTGATCAAGAATATATATTCATTGGAACTTTCTCATGAACTTATAATGCAAGTGGCAAATATGGAAACTAACTCTCTTGCTGGCGGACAAACTCGCTGCGTCTGTCGATCGCCGAGCGGCTGTGGTGCGGGTCCACCGGATAGATGTTCTCGCGGACGGACAGCTCGTTGCCCAGATGCTGCAGGGGCGAGCTGGCGGGTCCCTCCTCCGGAGTGGTGGCGAACACGCTGACGTGGCTCTGCTTGTTGGCCTGCAGCCAGGGCGGTGGCACAATCGATGAGAGGCGGCGTTCGGTGAGCGGCGAAGGTCCCTCCATGCCCAGATTGTCAGCTAGAATGTAACAATGTAATATGTTATAGCAATAATCCATAATAGGATAATAATAAGATAATAGGTATAAACTCACAGTCCACATTAATGGAACGCGTCTTCTTGATCGCTCCCTTGCAGGACATGCGCCGCCTGAGGGTCCTCGGACGCAGCTGTCCGCCGCGCAGGTTCATCGTGCTGCGGTTGCTGAACGAGCGCAACAGGTGCTCGTCCAGATAGGTCTGCACATCCGGATGCAGGCGGTCCGGGTAGCCATCCTCGGTGCTGCCCAGGAAGCTCAGGTCCGTGATGGCCGAGGTGTTGAGGAAGTCCTTCAGGCTGCCCAGCATTACGCGGGTGCCATTGATGTAGCCCGACTTCAGCTTCCTCATCGTCTGGATCATGGCCAGCGGTATCTTGTCCTGATCTGTGGATTCCGCATCGCATCCAAATGGATCTGGTTAGCTTTGCTTTGTTTCCCTGTTTTCATTTCGGTTCATGACTATGAGTATGTGGATCATGATCTTGGTTGGGATGCTTGGTTGTGGTTTGGGTTGGTTTGGTTTGGGTTAGGAGCGCCGTTTAATAAACTACGGGTTAGTCACACAAAAAATACAACGATAACCGGAAGTTAAGCACAGGATTCCAGCACCATCGGCAATTAGTGTGTGCTTTTTTGGGTGCAAGTGCCAGCCAAATGCAGTGGGTAGATTGATTAGCCACAGAAACTATTATCAATCACAGGTGCAGCGTCGATATTGGTTATTTACGCATAGAAAGCTTTGTTTTTTTTTTTAAACTTTTAATGACCGATTTTTGGAATTTAAGAAGGGATACATTTAATAGGTTGTTTGGTCTCAGAAGCTTTAACATAGGTCATGAGAATTCAAAGGTATATATATATATAGATCACAAGTCCAAATGCCCAAAGAAAGTATATGGTAAAAAGCTCACAATAGAACCTTATTTAAGCGCAGGTTAAAAATTTGTAAGGAATACACCTATATCTTCAAAAGTAATCCGAAATAAGACACCATACTTGGTAAACAAAAGACTGATTTTAAAAACTATTTAAAAAATGTGTAAATTAAGATTATATTATTTTTAACATATTTCTAAAAAAAACTTCAATAATTTGTGATTAATTTGGTTCAAGATATAGGTGTATTTGGGGTCACAGTAAGTGGAAATGATTTGGACTCGGGTTCAAAAGGTAATTGATACACTGAGGAAAACGAGCAGAAAGAGCGGAAGCAATCAGGCCATTTACTAAGCAGACACAAGCAGGGGTCAGAGGTCACAGGTCACAGATCACAGATCGTTTGCATATCGTTATATCAACTGTTTGTTGGCTTTTCTGTGTGTGGAGTATATCGCATATATGCAGTGGTCCTTGGAATCAAGTGTGTTTTCGACTTTTTGGGGGGTGCAGAATGGGGATCGGATTTGGATTTGGAATTGGATTTGGAATTCAAGGCGGCATAATGCATAATCGAGCTGGGTGGGGTTTCGTTTTTTCTTTTTTATTTATTTATTTATTTATTTTTTGTTTTTTTATTGATTTGGGGTAGTTACCTAGCATATAGTGGGTTGCCATTAGTGTGATTGTCGGCCTGCCCAACATGTGACGCCAATTGTTGGTCAAGAATGCTAAATTTGTGGTAAAATTGCTGGCAAGCAAATCGGGATCGCGTGTTGTATAATATTCTTCATAGTCGATATGCTGTGTAAGTGTTGTTGTTGTTGTTGTTGTTGCAGTTGTAGTTGTTGTGTATAATATATATATATATATATATATATATATTGTTTTTATTTGGGATAAAATAAAGAAGAGAAAGGATTGGTTTTCGTTTTCGTTTTGATTTGATATTTCATTGGCCAATTTTTAACGGATTTTGGGGCTCGGGAATGGAAATTCTAGGCAAATGGGTATAAAAGTTCATAAAAGTCCAGAGCAGAGCGTTGATAAATAAAACTAAATAAACTATAGCTACATTAAAATAAAAAATAATATATAAGCGGTGAAAATATCGGCAGCATTTGCTTGAATTAAAAAAAAAACACACAAAAATAGATTCAAATAAATGTCGTTAAATATTTTTATAGAACTGAAACTATTTATTCAATGAAAAAAGAAGTAACAATATTTTTTTAGAAATTCTAAATATAATTTAAATTTTGAAATGTAAAAATTTTTTTTTTATAATTTGTTAGATGCAATTAAAAAATATTTTTTTTTCCTGCTAATATTTGAACCGCAATTGTATGTACAAAGTATATAAGGTAATGTGTGTGTGTATGCCAGTTTTCTATATAGCAAATGGAATATATGAACTAGTGTGTGGGTGTTACCATAACCAAACTAAAGTTAACTAAAAGCAATAACCAACTAAAAAGCTGAAGAGGAGTGGCTACAATTGAGAACCAGCTTCCCAAAGTCTGGAATAAACGTCAAAGGTCATGATCAATCAATTACCCTTGGCTATTTTTGGAAAACGAAGCGTTCACTTCAATTGACCACAAAATTCCAAACCTTGGGCAACCGATTCGATTCTATAGAGTTTAACGAGTCAATTCTGTGTGCATATTTTTGTGTGTTCGAGTGTGCGTGTCAATTAATTGATAAACAATACCAATACCAAAAGCAAACCCTTGCAATTAATCAAATCAACAGAACAATTCACAAAGTATACGAGTATATAGGTTGGAAAAACAGTCGGGGTTGTTGGGGGGAGGGAGAGCATAAAAAACACCCGCGCACAATAAACAATAGATTAAAAATAAAAAATAAAAACAAGACATGGAGTGAATATATATAAATATAACGTGTTCTTTTCGGCATTCTCTCTCCGATCTGACCGACCTAGGTGAATCCGCTTCAGCACCAGGGTGACCAGCGGACGACCCAACAAATCCCAAGCGGACTTGAGGAAATTTATCTCGCCCTTGAGGATGTCGATCATGAGTTCGTTATCGGAGGCGATATAGAAGCGCGACAGGTCGGCAAACTGATGATAACGTGATAAACGGTAGAAATCATAAATCAATCATAAAATACAGGAATGCAAACCGATCTACTAATTACCAATCATAATTTGATATTGTTTATAATCAATATTCATAATTTAGCAAGTCGTTTTAAGTTATATTATTGTTAATATTTATCAATGAATCGTAAAACTCATTAATGTATTATTTGAAATTTTTTAAAACTTTACAAATGAATACTGTACTGATTAATTTTAAGTACTTCAATATAAAATAATTAATATTCAATGGATAAATAAGTCGTTTTTAGTATAATTATTATTTCAACTTATTAATCAATCGTTAATATAAACTTGCTAATTTTGCATATTTTTTAAAAGAAATTTCTACTATTATAATTAAAGTTCTCGTACTAAAATAAATAGTTTTTAGTTGTATTAATGTTAATATTTAAGGTCAAAGTTTTTGAGCTATTTAAAGAACCAAGCCGATGTTTAAAATTTGGAATATAATAGAAAGTTTTAAATACCGGTTTGCATCCCTGACCAAAAATACAATAGAAAGTGTATAAGAAACAGAGCAATTGGGACAAAGGCAAGTGGGTATTTTATTTTATTGGGGATTCTGGGGAGGGGTGGCCGGAATTCTTGGGTTAATCCGAGACAGTTTAACCGGACTCCATGGTCACTCACCTGCGGGGTGAAGGCGAATATGCGATCCTTTAGCGAGTACAGCTTGCTGGTGCTGAGGATGCCCACGTCGCGGGACTTGCGACCGCTCAGTCCCAGCTTCCGGTTGCGTCCGAGATAGGTGTACAGGTGGCTGAGGACGCGGGCCGGCTGCACCTCGATGGGCGCCACCTCGGCGATCGTCTGCACGTGCAGATCGTGCTCGGCCAGCTTGTCGCGGATCTCGTTGTCCTCGGCGATGATGACCACCTGAACGACCACGTCCGGCTTCTTTTGCGCCCCCAGCCGACGATTCAGAGGATCCAGCTCGCCCACAGCCAGGAAACCCTGGAAAATGGCAATCAAAATAATATTAGTACCTTGAATTTGTAGCATTATATAAATTCAAAGAGGTAAATCTGTAATCCAAAGGTTATTACAATATATTATATTATAAGCTTATATACATATATATCTGCAATTCAGATGTACATATTATAAATATGCATTTAATTCATTATTTATCTAGTTCTGTCCAAATGTTATAGATATATAATGCGTACCCATTAAATTGGTCTTTCAATTTAAAATTAAATTATTATATTTTTATAAAAAATTGTTTTCGCTTGACTTAATCAATCTGTAATTCAAAAGTACTAATAATATGCACTTTAATTTAAAATAAATATATAATTTCAGTTATTTTACATTTAACCAATATAATGAATATGCACATGAATCCTTACTAAATTCTAAATTTGCACATATTATGATTGAAACTAGACATGTGCCCGCAGCTGTGTAAACAAATAGACAAAACTAGATCGATATAAATACTTTACAGGGTCGCCAACGAGCATCTATGTTTAGATAAGAACCGAAAACGAACCGAAAACGAACCGAAAACGAACCGAAAACGAACCGAAAACGAACCGAAAACGATCCGTAAGGAACACACAATGCTCACCTCCTGCAGCAGTCTGCCGAGGATGAAGAGGGACTGGCCCCACAGGAAGGGACACCGACCGACCACCTCGCGGAGCTGGGATCCCGGCTTCTGGTACTCGAAGCCCACCAGATCCTGCGGCACCGCATAGCTTTCCGGAACGAGAAGGATGCCGTCCTCGGAGCGCACCATGATCTTCTCCAGCCGGCTGGCGTACTCCTCCACCGAACGCTTGTCGTTCTGGAAGGCGTGGAACAGGATGAGGTAGCAGTAGAAGAGCGGCCACTCGCACTCGATGTTCTCGAACATGCGCAGCTCCCAGCGCTCGTAGTAGAGCCTGGATGGATCCTCCTTGGGCGTGCGATAACCGTCGCGCAGGAATCTCTTGCAGCCGTACTTGCCCTGCAGGCGGGACAGAATCGCATCCTTCGTGTTGTGGATCAACTGGGCATCGTCCACGGCAAAGGCAGGAAAGCCGATCACGCACAGCAGCCCGGAATCCAGCTCCTTGCTGTTCGACTCGCGGGGCAGCATCGACTGGAGCACCGCCTGGCACTTGTGGGCCTCGTCGGCCAGCACATGGATCACACTGGCCGGTCCGCCGCGGGCACCGAACAGATCCAGCTCGTTCATGGCCTCCAGCGCCGCCTTGGCCATGCCAATGGAGCTGGCATTCAGCTCCGGCTCACCTGGAATACACACAAATAACGAAATAATATATAGTTCACTGATGGGAAAAATGGACTGGTAAAAATAAATATCTGGAAAATGTTTTGTTTATCAAAAAAAAAAGTGTTTGCTAAAAGCCAAACATTTTATTATAATCTATATCGTTGGCAAACAAAAGAAATTAATGATAAGATACAAAAAACGATTCATTTGAACAAATTAAACAGATCGTTTTGTGAGCAGCCAGTCGATGTACCTACCATGATTGGTCTTATCGCCGCGCTCCCAAATGCCGTAGTCAGGGATCGAGTAGGCCGACTCAATGTAGAAGACCAGATTCTGGATGAACGAGACTTCGTCCAGGGAGAAGACGATCTGCAGGCCGGAGGCCGTCATCTGGGCCAGAATCAACAGGTACAGGGATACGGCATCGATCTGCAGATGGCCCCACTCATTGTCCCCCACCACGGGCAGGCCGTTCTTGCTGGAGTATTTGGCGTGGAGGGAATCGTAGGGTGATTGGGTCATCTTGAACTTCTCCACCTTGTCCTTTTGGTTCATCATGGCCATCAGCAGGCCGCGCATCAGCTTCACACAGCTCTGCTCCAGCTCGTAGCACTTGGCCCGATCCTCATCCTGATCGGCAATCTTCTTGTACGCCATGGACAGTCCCCACACGGCCAGGATGCAGTACACATTGTCCCTGATCCACGCGTGCGAATTCACATTGGAGGCGGGAAAGAGGCCGGTGACCGGCTCCTGGTGGGCCAGTATAAGTCGGTGCACGATGCGCTGGTAGTAGTCCAAGCGGACGCCCGAATTGCTGCGTGAACGCATCGCCGGTTCGATTGTGGATCCTCTTCTGGACGGTTTTCTAAAAATGAAAGGATTTGTTTTTTATAGTTTCATATATCTCAAACGGAATAAACATTATTTAATAAAACATGTCAGCGAAGTAATAATCGGAAATTATGGTACCCTATTGTTTAAGTTAATACGTTTTATAACAGCCCAACTTATGATTGCTTTATATTAAAGAGTCTCTTGTTTTTGGTGGTAATTGAATAGGGAATAATCATATTTTATTGAAAAATGTTAAATTAATGTAAATTTCACTAGATATAAAGCGTAATAATATTCCTACACCGCCTGATAATTGCTTTATATAAATAATTCTATTACACGTTTGTACTTAGAGATTCACTAAGATTGTTTAAGATCAATAAGACAATATCTAACAGCTATCATTCTTGATCGTTGAATCACTTGGTTTTTTAGGTTTACAACACTTTATTTTGGTACTAGGAACTCACACAATTTATTCAATTCTTGTTTTTTTTTTATATAAAATATAAAAACTTGTATTGCCTAAAGAATAATAATATCATAACATATTTAAAATTTTTGTACAAACTTTTGAAAATGACGTTTAAATATCTGTTCCTAGAGTTCTTTATTTGAAAGTTGTCAACTGTTTATTACACTCTGTACTACGGATTCAATAAGATTTGCCAATATGCCATATCGTTATACATTTGATCATGATTCACTTGCTCGTTTGAACACATTCGTTTACAGCATCGGTTAGAACGGTTTATTTTGGTTTTATGAAGGTCTGACCCCTATATTCTAGGTGGGATGAGGTTTTTGCGGCGCGGTTTGCGACGTTAAGCGATGTTATGATTGTTGTTTACTCTCGACAAGCGGGCACGCTCAACTTACATAATGTCGGTGCGGATCGGTTCGGAACGGAGCAGCTCGGATCGTTTGTTGTGGTTCAGCACAATGGGTGAGTGCAGGAGAGGAGAGGAGACGAGGAGGCGGAATCCAATTTCCACAGAATCCCCTCGGAACACCTCGCACGCTAGAACCCGTTGAGTTCGTGTAATTAGCCGCGGGGACAGCGCATTCTCTCCGGGATTTGGCGGATGGAGTGACGCACTGCACCCGTGCAAGTTTCGGTGCTTGTTTGGTCACTTGCTTCGCGGATAAATCGAGTTATATTATAATTAAACTAATGCAAAAGTCAACTCAATGTCACCCAGTGTGACCAACGGATGTGCGGACAAAGATGCTGCCATGAAAATACTAACGGCAAAGAGCAGAAACCGTAAAAAATACCACGCAAATCATATGTTTTTTTTATTTACTTGAATATCAAGACCAATTTTTCTCTCAAGTGTATTGGTTTAAATGTAGTTTTATGAGAACTTTATTCATTTGATTTTTGTTGAGAATATTTAGTTTTACAATATACAGAGCTTATTCAAACAAATGCAAAATATCGTTAAATTAAATTATTAAACGCAAATCATGTAAAATTTTATGAAAAAATTTATTTATTTTGTTGAAAAATTTTCAGAGTAATTGAAGTTAAAATTAGAAATACCTTTTTATTGCAATAAAATAAAGTCGCTTAATACTTACAACAAATACATTTTTTTTAAATAAAACCTTGTGACCGTTTTTATTTTTTTTTTAATTTGACAATTTACAAATACTAGAAAATCGGCTGAAGTGATAATTCACTGGCAAGTGCTGGTCACACTATACTGGGGCGCCAAAAACAAAATAAGAATTAATTTCGTTTTATTTGAAAAAGCTTTAATTGATCAAATTTTATAAATAAACTTATTTTCCTTCTTAGATATTGATGTTTATTCGACAGTTTTGTTCATAAGGACTTGACACAATACGCTATTTTAATGGTTTACATATATAAAAGAAAACCGAAATTATTTATTATACTACACATATTATCCTTGATGGGCCGGGATTTTTTTATTATTATTTATGAATTTCCCTATCGCTACAAGACAAGAATTATAAATTAATGCACCTATCTTGTTTTTAAGAGCAAGAAGTATGTATATAATTTAAGGCCAGATATGACAGGGTAAAGAGAAAGAAAACGTTCGTTGGAGAATCCCAAAACATTAAAAAGTTTTCTCACTGTTTAAAGGTTTCGATGTGCATTAGAATATCCGGTCTTAGCCCAGTTCGATCGGTCTGGAATTTTTGCATTGATTCAGAATCAAAGCTTTTTCTCTCTGTTTGTAATTTTCCCAGTTAAAATGTTAATTTTTAGTTCAAGTAAGGCTTTCCGATTCTGAGAAGCTTCAGTCTCACAAAAGCCATTGCACTGATTCAGACATAAAGCTATGGTTTTTCGATCTGTTGCATTGGGTTCCTTGTATCTTTGCGGAGTATTATTAACCAGCAGTTGGGCAAGTAAGTGTTATAAATATTTTTCAAAAAAAGGGTCTGAAAACATGATATTTTAAGATATATATGATTTCATAATTTTTTCTCTGTCTTCATTGAGGAAACTATAATGTGAATTAACAAGTTGGGAAAGCAAAAAACTGGTTTTCAATGTGTTTCTATTAAAAAAAAAATCCAGTTTACATGCCATTAGCATGTGCAACACTTCCTATTAATTCTTCAAAACTTTCTATTAGTTTTTTTTTTTGGATAAAGGACCTTTAGAACGAGAAATATTCCATTTAAATAACTCATAAGTCATCTATTTGGAATTGTTTCAGAACCCTGGCTGCACTTTGGCTACTGTGGTGAATCTGGAGATGGGCACTGCCTGCCCGTCGAGGATTGTCTGGAGCAGCAGGGTTACGTCGAGGGCAAGGATTCGTCCGAGTGCCACAATTTGATATGCTGCCAGAAGAAGATCTATCCGCAGCAGGTGGAGAGCTACTGCAAGAACGGCCTGCGGCCGCACATTTCGAATGGCGAGGAGACCCGTATCCGGGAATTCCCCTGGATGGCCCAGCTGCTCTACGGCGATCGATTGGTGCCCAAGTGCGGCGGATCCCTGATCGCCGCCAAGTGGGTGGTGACCGCAGCCCACTGTGTGCCGCGAAAGGCCCACGAGGACGAACTGCGTCGCGTTCGCCTCGGTGTGTGGGATGTCCGACGGCAAACGGAGACGGGGCAATGCCATGGACCGGACTGCTCGCCGCCGCCCCAGGACTTCTCCATTGACAAGGCCTTTGCCCACGATTCATACCAGCCGGCCGATAAGATGGGGACCAATCTGGAAAAGCACTCCTACGACATTGCCCTGCTGCTGCTCGCTGGGATCGTCACCTACACGGAGTTCATCCAGCCCATCTGCCTGCCGCCGCTCTACGATCTCACCCGGCTGGCCGTCTATGCGGACTACAATCTGACCATCGCCGGATGGGGTCGCACCAGCGAGGAGTCGGAGGACACCAGTCCGGTGAAGATCAAGGCACAGGTCAAGGGCTGGTCGCCGGAGAGCTGCAAGATGCTCTACAAGAAAGTGGGTCCCAGTCAGATGTGCGCCGGCGGCGGACCCTCCCGGAAGAGCAGCTGCTTCGGCGACTCCGGCGGCCCGGTGATGGTCGGCAACCAGCTGGTGGGCATCGTCTCGCTGGGGGAGGCCAACTGCGGATTCGACCGAGGACCCATGGTCGTCACGCGAGTGGATTACTTTGTGGATTGGCTGGAGCAATACCTGCTGGGTCCCAGGAGCTTCAATATCGTTGGCCCGTACCTGGCCCCAGTACTAAGAACACCGAAGTGAACTCCTCGTTTTGTATTAGGTTATTATAACATATAAGGTAACATCCCGTCTATTAGTTTCACAAGGATCAAACCACTCTCGATGTAGACCATATGTACCAAAGGTAAAATGAATTTTATATATTTGTCTGTATCTTTTCAATAGTGAATGAGAAATTTGTGTAATTTATCAGATTTTAAAATGCTCCACGTTTTATACGCATCATATATAATTGTAATACATAAGTAGATTTAGTGCCAAATAATACAAAAATACCCACAAATGGGAAATTTTATTGATGCGGCAAGCAAATGAGTTGAAAGTAGTTTTAAGAACCTGTATTATAATTTTTATACCCTTGCGAGAGTATTATAATTTCAGTCAGAAGTTTGCAACGCAGTGAAGTAGACATATTCTTGATCAGCATCACTAGGAGAATCGATCTAGCCATGTCCGTCTGTCCGTCCGTCCGTTTCTACACAAACTAGTGTCTCAGTTATAAGGTATCTGCATGAAACTTTCCCAAAAGTTTGTAACGATCCTGCTTTGCTGAGGTAGCTCAACGGTGTCCAGGTGTTCGTTCCAACATTTATTTATGTCAGGAGTGGTTGCTGTAAGAGGTCGACCCGGTTCCCAGAGTATGACACGTAAGCGGGTTCAGTGAAATCGAATCGGTATGCGTTTATTAAGAATTATTTTGTACATGGGATATATATATATAGTTCGTGCTGCAGGGGCTCGTCCGCCCGTAGGTTGCTGGGGTCTTATTCCGTGTCGTCGTTCGGCGTCGTCGTTGGCCGTCGTCGTCCCGGTGGCGGCGGCGTCGGCGGCGGCGGGTACCCTGTGGATGAGAAAGGAAAAGCCACGTCCCTCTTGGCTATGCTTATGTCTAGGAGGATGAGACAGTTTGGAGGCCGCTTGGGTCTGCCATGTTTCGAGAAGAGGGTGGAGTCGCTTGGGGCTACCAGTTTCGAGCAGAGGGTGGAGGCCGCTTGGGTCTACCAGGTGAGATCGGTTCGGCAGACGGCCGGGGAGCGCCTCGGAGAACCGAGTGGTGGAGTCCCCCGAAGATCGGGTGTCACCAATGACGGTCGGTCTTGGGGTGTGGGATCCCAAAGGTCGGATATCACTGATGACGGCCGGTCTTTAGGGGGGGTGGGGAAACAACTAACTACAATGTATTGGGTGGACGGGGTACTAGACCCTATCCCGGAGAAGTTTGCTTACTCCAAAGTGTAAGCCTTACCTTCTCCGATCGCCGTCGGCCGCCGAGTGATCTGTATGGGCCACCGGCGCCCTTTTTATATCCTCCCGGCCCTCGCCAGTGTGACTGTAGTTTCATAATCCTATAGCCATGGCCATACCGCGTGTGGCTTGTGGTGGCTATTGGTCAGTGTGACCGTTTCCTTTGTTTGGCGCGCCCGCCCGGATATTTAAATTCGAATATTTCCGTTTAACTTAAATTTATTTCGGCTTCTTGCCTTTTTACGGTATTGAACTTATAATTATTTCGGCTTCTTGCCTACTTAACGACTATCTATAGCTACTGCTTATGTTATTATATTATATTTACTTTGTGCGCTCCTGAGCATCACAAGTTGTCTTTCTGTTGCAGGTAGTATATAATTCGGAACGAGCCGGATCGGACGACTATAGCATACAGCTCACATAAGAACAATCGGAAAAGAAATAACAAAAATTATAACTTCTTTGACATATAACACAAAGCTCCCATGGGAAAAATAAAAATATTAACAAAATTTTTTTTTTAAGATTTTGTAATTTTATTTACAAATTAAATTAAAATTTAAATAATTTAAATAATTTTATTAAAATCGGAAAACCATATCAAATAGCTGCCATAGGAACTATGAAATAATTGAGCTGCAAATCATCATAGCTTCAATGTTGTTAAGAATATTTAATTTTTGCAATAGGTGCAAGAGTATATGAACTTCGGCTTGCCGAACTACGAACTTTCATGTTAGAACTTAGAAGCTTTTAAGTTTAGTTTTGGGAATTTTTTATGACGCACTAGCATTCCATTGACGGACTAGCATTTAGCTAATGCTACTCCGACATGTGAGTAACACGAAGAGCTGATCTGGGTTTGTTTACTTTCGAAGTATAATTATTGAACATGAGTGGACTTTTGCCGCTTAGTGGACTTTTTAATTGTGCCTGATTCCATTAGTGCATTATCATTTAGCTAATGCTACTCCGACATGTGAGTGGCACGAACAGCTGATTTGGGTTTGTTTACTTTTGAATTTTGGCAAATACAAAAGAAATTAATTAAAATTAATGAACATGAGTGAGTTTACTAAACTCTCTAATGCTTAGCAGGACATCCATAATGAATGAGGCTATCAGAAACTAGTTTAGATCGACGACTAAAGTTAAGGAACTTAAAGCTTGCACTTGGCTCTAAACGTCTAAATGCCGGTATAAGCTCTTGTTCTGATTCAGTTTGAAAACTATGGCCCTTAGATCTAGTACCTTCGCCTTATACCTCAGCGGAGTGCTAGTGGCCGGCAGTTGGGCAAGTAAGTTCCATTCAAGGTGGAAAAATGTCATTTCCGTCCGTCCGTCCGTCCGTCCGTATGAATGTCGAGAGTTCGGAAACTATAAAAGCTAGAGATTTTGGATTTGAAATATATAGATTCTAGTGATTCTAGTGATTCGTACGCAACGCAAGTTTATTTAAAAACGGAGTCACGCGTGTGTGTTTCGGCCATATTCTACGGAAGAAACAAAAATGTTCACAATCGTATTTAAAATTTTAGAAGTTTTTGTCAAAAATTCTGTATTGCTACGACGTCATTGCAAATTAAAAAAAAGAAAAAGGAATATACATATATGAGAGCAGGTAGAACCCTCGTGCTTACAGGAATTTCCATGAATTAATATATGGAATTGCAACAAATATATGGAAACTAATAAAGGTATAAACACAGCCTTAGTGGCATGAGGGGGTATTTAATACTAACATAGGTGTTGTACAACATAGAGTCTTTCTCTGAACTTGCGATGACTCGTGAAGTACGGAAAACGATCGAATTTGTATCTATGCGAAAAAAATTTAGACGCAGTTTGTCAGGTGGGATTTTACGATTATTATCTGGAGGAATATTTACATATTTGAAAATTTGTCAACTGAGTAACGAGCATTTAATTGTCGGGGAACTATCATGGACAATAGCGTGCTCTCTTGTTTTCAATTTCCAATCGTTATATTTCAGTAATAACCACTATAAGATCTAAGATATATATACATAAATCTTAAAGGCGTATTTCCTCAAAGCACTTTTTATGGGATACGCTCAAGCACCTCGATTTCCTCAGGCCTCTGAAATGCTGGCTTTTTTGGAATTTGAAAATGTATACAAATGGATTAATCCCCAACCAATTTATTAACTTACAACAGATCCCACACAGCACTTTGGCCACTGCCGTGGACTGGAAAGGGGCCAGTGTCGACCCAGCGATCAGTGTTTGGAGCAGGGCCGATTCGCCCAGGCCAGGGTCTCTTACCTGCGGCCCCATATTGCCAATGGGGAGGCTGCCGGACTCAGTGAATTCCCGTGGATGGCCCTGTTGCTGTACGGAGATTTCCTGGTGCCCCAGTGCGGGGCTTCCCTGGTCAGCGATACGTGGGTCCTGACCGCCGCCCATTGTGTGCTGCGGGAGGATCGCCTGGAGGAGCAACTGCGTCGCGTTCGCCTGGGCGTGTGGGATTTCCGGCAGGCAGAGGATGGCCAGGACTTTTCCATCGCAAGGAGCATTGTCCACGAGAAGTACCGACCAGACGAGACGACGGAGAGCTATCTGGAAAGGTATGCCCATGACATTGCCCTGCTGCTGCTCGCTGGGACCGTCACCTACACGGAGTTCATCCAGCCCATCTGCCTGCCCTTGGCTTTCCAACCTTCCCGCAGCGATGTCTATGCGGACTACAACCTGACCATCGCCGGATGGGGTCGCACCGGCCACGAATGCCAGCCCATCAGTCCCGTGAAGATCAAGGCTCGTGTCAGTGGCTGGTCCACGGACAGCTGTCGAAGGCTCTACCAGGAAGTGAGCCACGGCCAGATGTGCCTCGGAGGAGGGGCCTCCCGGAGGAGCAGCTGCTTCGGCGATTCCGGCGGCCCGGTGATGGACGGCAACCAGCTGGTGGGCATCATCTCGCTGGGTACGTTTACATGCGGATCCGATCAAAAACCGATGGTTGTCACGCGGGTGGATACCTTCGCGATGTGGCTGGCACAGCACATGAATGTTTTACCATGGCGTTATTTATAAAAAACAAACCTATATAGATTTAAATGCAAAATAAAGAAACCATTTAAAAAAAGCAATAAGTCGATAAGTCGTGTTATGTCAAGATCCTGTGATTATTATTGAAATTCTCGCCAAGTTTTTGGAGTAGTTAAAAAAAGGTTTGTTTGTTTGTTTGTTTGTTTGGTGATGATGACGATGATGATAGTGTTCATAATGGTGATGATGCAACGATGATTGATGATCTTCACGCTAAAGCTTTTATCTAATCGCGCCTGCTGCGCTTGCGATCCGAGTGGCTGCTGCGCTCGTTGTTCTTCTCTTCGGCTCGCTTGGGCGCCTTCTTGGCCATGTTCAAGAACTGATCCAGACCGAACGGATCCTCCTCCTTCTCGAACTCCACGGGGCCACTCCTCTGACCGGCGGCCGCATCCCTGGAAGCACCCGAGAACTGCTTGTCCGGCACGAAACGCTTCGTGTTCACAATGGCATCCAGATCGCCGCCATAGTTATCGCTATCCGCCTGCTTGCTGGGTCGGTAGATGTGGGCACCCAGTGTATTTGAATCGCGCCACGGCTTGTCGTAGACATTGTACGCCTCGTCATCGCCGTAACCGGAGTCCATGCCCTTGGTGGTGTTGAAGAGGCGCTGATCGAAGAGTGTCTCCCCGTTGCCGGCACTCTTGGCGGGCAAACCCAGGGCGATCTGCTCGGAGATGTCGCGCTCCCTCTCCCTCTGCAGTTTCGATCGCTTTTCCGGAGCCGCCCGCTGCAGATTTCTGTCCCGCTGGCGCTCCCTTTGCCGTTCCGCCCGCAAATCGTTACGTTCTCGTGCCTCAACTCCTCCACCGCCGCCGCCGCCCGATGGACCCGAGGGCTCGGCTGCCTCTGGATTGCGTAGACCCGCTCGCTCTTCGCGAGCCCGCTGCGCCATCATGCGCAACATATCCTCCTTCTTCTCCTTCTCCTTCTGGGCCAGCTTCTTCTCCAGCTGGGCGCGAGCCTCCACCGCCTCGCGGGCCTTGCGATCGGCTATGTACAGCGCCTCGGCCATCTTGGCGAACTTCTCGTTGATGTGCACCTGCTGCAGACCGCGTCCATCGGCTGCCAGGCGCTTGTCCAGGGGAATGGTGTAACCTGAAATCGTGAGCGGACGCGGCGAATTAGTGGGCAAATGGGCAAAGCATCTTGCAATAATACGATATATTATATAATGTCGCATGTGACCAGTGACCAGTAAACAGTAGATTAGAGCGAAACCCCGCTTACCTTTGGCGTTCTTCCAGTTGGATATGCACGGCGGGATCTTCCACTCCTTTTGCTCCTTCACGGTCACCTTGCGTGACGGCGAGTGGAGGACAGGCGCCGGGGGCGACGGCGGTCCGCGTGGAATCTTCTTGTTGATGCGGAACTTGGGCGGTTCCATGGGATCCAGCTGCGCCTCCACCATCCGGATGACTCGCTGCTTGGCGCCCGAATTGAAGGCATCGCCCTGCTGCGAGGGCGTGTACCGGATGTACTGGGCGGGACCCGCCTTCTGGGCATGGCGCACGGGCAGCGCCGAGGTGATCTTCTGATTGGTAAGCTTCTCCAGCGCCAGGCGTGTCTCCTCCGTTGTCTCCAGCACCGTTTCCTCGTCCGGTCGCTGCAGTTCCTCCGCGTCTTCGGCCAAAACCTCGGCGGGCAGCAGCTGCGAGATGGACGAGTACACAACCTTATCCTTGCCATGTCCTTGGCGTGCTATGGCATCGTATTTGACTTTTCCCTTGTCGTCCAGGCGAACGGCCAGGGCATCCGATTTCTTGCCCACATTCCCGGGCGCTCCCAAACCTGACAAGAAAAAAGGGGTATTATAACGTTAAATAAGCTAATGAATAAATTAAAAAACAGATTATCAGGATCAAAGAAAAAAGAAGTTATATAAACTGTCGATAGGAAATAAATCTCATTGAATTATACTATATGTTCTATACATGCTTTTAAGGACTCGCTTTATGATGCTGGTAAGAAACATATGTATGTACTTTATAAGGTCACTATAATGTTTTTATAGATCGTTTTTCTTTTCTATTGGAAATCAGTTTAGCCAAAGCTCTTGAAAACCGAGGATGTTTCTACTCGCTTGAAAAAGCTGATCCGAAATACTATATGTAAGCTAAGATCAAAGATCTGTTTAAATCATATCCTTTCAGGAAAGGCTTAACGAAAAAATTTCCTTCATGGGGACTCAGTTCCAGTTCCTCCAGGAATAGGGATTGGCATATTGAAAACCGAGGCATATTTTACAGAGTCATATACAAGGATTACATCAGCTTGATCGGGAGTACCAAATATATATATGGTATGATCGAACATCTTCTCAAATCATAACCTTTTTGGGAAATGTTTAACAAGGTAATGATTCCTTCATGAGGATTTCGTTCCAGTTCGCCGGGAAGAAACGATTTCCAGTTCCTCGGGAAGCAACGATTTCCAGTTTCTCGGGAAGCAACGATTTCCAGTTCCTCTGGAAGCAAAGTGAAAGTGGGATTACGGTAACTAAGACTCACCCAGTGGATACTGCGCCACATGGATTTCGGGAAAGGCGCCTCCGTCGCCGAAGTCGGCCTCCGTGCGCGGAATCCAATCCTTGCGCTGTCCGTACGGCGGAGCTGCGATTTTGGCGGAGACCAGGGCTCCGATCTTCGGGGCTCCGCGGGCGGCCAGGCGACGCTCGTCCTCGCGGTCCCAGACCGCGTTCGTCGGCGTGGGCAGCAGGCTCGATAGCGACATCTTGGATGTTGGGTCGTTTTTCGTGACTTATTCCTATGCGAAGCAACCCTTTTGCGTTGCGTTCCCTCGATTTGCAAGCACAAAAAAATACAATGGAAAAGTAGAAAAAAAACACGCACGCACACGGATACACTCACACAAGCGTACGGAAAGCAGCGTTGCCAGACGGCGTGCCAGCGATTTGCCACTGAATACGGCCACACTTAGGGATGAAGTCCAGTCACTTAATATATTTAAATCAATATTTATTTCACCAGCAGATTCTATTTTTATGTATTTATATTTAAATCAAATGACATGACAAGAATCTCAATTGTTGAAAAATGTTGTAAACTATTAGAGCTTTTAAAAATCTAGCTATTTTCCCGCTTAAAACTTTCTCCTCAGACCCATACGATACTATCGCCATCGCCATCGCACCGCACCTGGACTGCGAGGAGTGCCATCGCTAGCAGTGCAGTCAACAAAAATTAAAGTTTGTTATTTGGCCAAATTTAAAATGTACACATTGATGCACGGCTTTTACAAGTACATGACACAGAAGGACGACTACTGCGTGGTGATCCTGGGCCTGGACAATGCTGGCAAAACGGTATGGGGGCTGATTCAGCCGGAAGTGCAGAAGAAAACGAGTTCCAACCCAATTAACACACACCTGTGCCCACGTAGACTTACCTGGAGGCCGCCAAGACCACGTTCACCCGCAACTACAAGGGACTGAATCCCAGCAAGATCACGACCACAGTGGGCCTCAACATCGGCACCATCGACGTGCAGGGCGTGCGCCTCAACTTCTGGGACCTCGGTGGCCAGCAGGAGCTGCAATCGCTGTGGGACAAGTACTACCAGGAGTCCCACGGCGTCATCTACGTGATCGACTCCAACGACCGCGAGCGCATGGACGAGTCCAAGATGATCTTCGGTAATTGCACAAAAACCTCTGGGCAAAATTCCCTAGAAGAAACTTATAGTGAGGTTTAATCCTTTGAGTTAGATATTCTCATTGATCATCAAACTAAATGCAGGTTATCCTTGCTGTTTGTTAACTGGGGCATGATTTAAACTATTAAAATTATGGAAAATCTACTGTTTTAGTTAAAACATTAGTGAAAACAATTTCGGGATCTAAACGAATTAAAATTACATAGAGAAAGCACTTCAAAAGCCACAGTAGACTTTAAAACAACTAAAAAATATTTAATAATCATTCATACAAAGAAGATCTAGGTTAATATCTTTTAGAAAATCACAAGAGTTTAACTAAAGAAGATTAAATAATTGTTACGCCCTTTTCCAGATAAGATGATCAAGAACGAGCTGCTGTCCGGAGTGCCTTTGCTCATCCTGGCCAACAAGCAGGATCTGCCGGATGTGATGGGCGTGCGGGAGATCAAGCCCGTATTCCAGCAGGCAGGCGCCCTGATCGGGCGTCGAGATTGCCTCACCATTCCCGTGTCCGCCCTGCATGGCGAGGGGGTCGACGAGGGCATCAAGTGGCTGGTGGAGGCCATCAAGCGACATGCGGTGGTCAGGCCGCCGCGGGAAAACGATTAGAGCATTGCGAAAAAGACACGGGCTCATTGGCCCTCCACTGGCTTTAATTAGACTTGTATTTTTGTATCTTTAGGGCTTAGCACTACGCTTATTTGTAATTAGCCGGAGACGATTGTGAGATACCAAACATTGTACATTGTTGTAAACGCGGGTAAACAGCCTTGCAACGGCCTTAACTAGCTTTGTTCTCCGCACACCCATATCTTTCTGTCATGCCCAAAGCAGCTTATACTTGAGACAACCCAATTGTAATGCTACTTTTGACTTGACAGAAACATTACAGCATAGGACAGGGAATTACGAATAAAATTGTTATAATGGCGGAACCTGTACCGTTTAATAAAGTAAAAAAAAGCAACGATTTTCTAATTTTAAAAGCTATGCCTGGCAGGAAAACGTAATTTAAAAATCTGTAAATAGTTGGATTTTGTATATTTAACCCTTTCAAGAAATAAAGTATTTTTAAAAGCTACACAGGTGATAATAAAGTCATTAACTCTAGACTTCAAAAAGCTTTCGTATTTTTTTTATTTATATTTATTATTTTTTTTTTTTCAAAAGTGTAGGTATCTGAATGGCAGAACTAGGATCGAACTAGGGCTAAGGTTAATGGGTAACTACATATGTGGTGAGTGGGCGACTTGCGTACTACGAAATCGGGAGAGCTCCAGCTTTATCTAACAGCACTGCGCTCGATGGCGGTTGTCAATGGGGTTTTCGCTTATCCGAAGCACCGTAAAAAGAAACAACCAGCCGGGTTTGTGTTATTCGTGGGTCCGTTCGGTTCTCACGGCGCGGGGAGCATTACTATTATACCATTATCAGGCAATAGATAAGTGCGGCAGTGCCACCAAAAACAACACCTGGTGAGTGTTGAGTGGTGGCACTGGAATCGTCAGTCTTCCGCAGGAGTTTCCACCGCTCGGGCTGGAAATGATCTATAGCTAGAGCTACAGCTAGAGCTAGAGGGTCGGAAAAGCAGAGCGTTACCTGTGTTACCTGTTAACTATTAGTGTACATTAGATAAGGTCTATGTGGAGCACTCGGTGCTTATCGCTGCCATTCCCATTCCAGTCGGTTTAGTTTCGTGCGCCAGTGAGAAGCGACCATGTATCCGTATTACGAGCAGGACTGGAGCGTTCTGCCGCCGGAGAACAATCGCAGGTGAGATTGCATGCGTGGATCCGGATTCGGATTCAGATGGGGAACAAGATTCGCAAGTCAAGATCCCGTAAAGAATCTTTTGAATATGTCTTTCAAATATGACGTTATTGCGGCGCAGTGTGACCATTCGTCGTCGGTTTGTTTTGCTGATTTTTTTTGTTGTGTGGCTTAAAAAAAACGTTGAATCACCCCGTGGTTGCAAAAGCTAATTTTAATTGAATTTACGGTTTTCCTTACTTTATTTTCCTGCTTGATAAATGGTGTAATTAAAAAATCTTTGCCTGGGCAAGGTGAAAATTGATCATTGGTTAATTTTACAAAAGTCGTGATAACAAGTCTCTCTTAAAAATACCGATAAAAGTTATTTTCTCAGTACTCCCTTGTAAAAATACGCAAATAGACAAGATTAAATTAGAAATAAATTTAAATCAATATATTAAAAGGTATTTAAGTAATGCAATAATTATTATAACTTATTATATTTATAATTATATTAAAAGAAATTCCGGAAAAGTACAAGTCAATTTAAAAAGGAATTAAAACAAAAAAAAGCTTTAAAGTGTGCACCTGAAAAGGTGAAGCCTTAAAATAATGTTGTACCTAATACAGGATATTTGCAAGGCTAATAAAGTCTGTACCTAATTACGGTAAAAGAAATTGAGTTATTTGTTTACATAGGCAATATACTTAGCACTTACTGTTTGTACAGAAGTACAATTGTCTAGGTACTTTCTTGCACTGTTCAATGGCGCGTTTTCGCTGTTGGTCTTCATCACCGACACTTACTGTACCTAAAACGAACTAATGCCTTTTACGTGACGCGTTAGTACTTTTTCTCGAGCTGCTTGTAAATATCGCCCTCTCGCTCGCACCCACTACTACTGTTGCGCTCATCATCAACATATTCTCGACGAACATTTTTTTTTACTTGTTACGTTGATTTTGTGGCCATTGCGTTTAAATTGCGAGCAACCAGCACAAAAGTGACCGTGCGAATATGTGCTAAATCGTAAATGCAGTTTTAGGAAATAAATTAATTGAATTGCAGACACATTCCAGCCAGAAAAGCAAAGGTGGTGTGCGTGTACGTGTGTTGAAATTTTTTTGTCGCGTTGTAAAATTTCGCATTTGGAAGCTGACGCAGGTGGTTATAAATTATAAACGTAGCGCTAATGAACCGGATCTACCTGCCATTAAGCGAAAAGGCCAGTCGGAAAAGTCAAAAAGAGTGCCATAGATTTTCCTAGCGTTTTCTTGTTGGCCCTAAAGACGTGCATGTGTGTGTGGTGGTGCCTATAGGTGTGTGAGTGGGCCTTCCAGTAAATCGCATAAATTAGCTGGCGAAAAATCACATTGAAAACAAACGAGGAAAGCTCTAAAAAAAACCCTACGTGTTAAATATCTCTACATATAATATATAAAAGTGACGGTGTTCTATGATTTTTTAATGCAATCGATAAACCTATGCTATCGATGACGGCAGCTGTTTTTGGCCACTTACATGTTGGAGTGGAATTAATAAGTTGAAACGAGTAAACAAGTTGTATTTAGGATTAACTGTTTCTATTTTCCAATTGGGCACTGGAACCCTTTGTGCGTGTACATGTGCTTGTGTGTGCATTAATCATTTAATCAATTTGCATTGCAATCTGTTGTTACCTTGGCACAGAGATCATGTGTAGTTGTTTGAGCCAACTCACACATACGCACGCACACACGCACGCTTTTGAGATGCCAGTTTCATAACAACAGCGATCTACTTTATGTCAGCAGTAATTGTTACTGCTTTTATTTATCTATGTATTTAACTTTTTTCCCTATCAGTTTTTATAAAAAAAAGAGCAAGCGAGTGAGCGAGAGAGAGAGAGAGAGAGTGCAACAAAATAGCGGCCGGCAGTTAGTCCGTGTGTGTGTGTGTGTGTGTGGGAGTGTAAGTGTGTGGAAGATCTGCAGAGGAAAAACCGTTCGTTTCGCTAATTTGTGTTGTTGCCGCCGCCCAGCAACAAAAGAAAACACAAAAGCGCGTAGGCCGGCAAAAAAAAGGAAAACAAAAAATAAGAATCGAGCGCATAAAGAGCGAAAAAAGCTGCCACACAAGTGATTCAACGTTTCTCGCCGCCACAATGAACTCCGAGCATGGGTAGGATCCAAAACTGCAAGCCCCAAAACGTTATCCCCAGAATCTACATATAACTTTCTTCGACAGATTCAATCCAGCCTTCAATATGGCCACCATACGGCAAGCGTTCACAGAGGCGGTGGAGAGAGGTAAGCACAAAAAAAAGGTCATCGCACGATGGATACTGGCTATGGGGAACATTTTGGCTTACTGTGGGACCACTTATTAGATCAATCGAAGGAGTCATACAAGTCGACAAAACAATTTTAAAAGACCTTCCTTCACCTATCCTAAGGATTTCGAGATTTAAAATATATTGTAGTCTTCTTTTGGACACCTCTATAAGCGATTTTAAACCCTAAAGATTTCTGTGGTTTTCTAAATACCATAAAGATGTACGAAAATAACATGTTCTTTTGCCCATTTAAAAAAATTTACAAAATCCATTGAACATAGTTTTTAGGAAATGCTAATTCAATTAATTAAAACAATTATTTGCAATCCAATTATAGGTTATAGAAAAAGATACTGAAAGATACTAAGATAATTAGTATATTTCTATATCTAAATATCATATCAAAATATAATAATATCTTGTTATTATTATATCTTATTAGTTTATTGTGAAACCATTAATACCTTTTCTCAAAGCCAAACGAGTTATATTTATATTTGTTTGTTGATCAATGATCATTTGTTATTAGTTTCTAATGAAAACAATTTTTAAAACCGAAATGTATGTATATCAATAGCAACATAGACAGACAGACATTATAAGTTTAACAAGATTAGGAAATTAAATTTACAATTTCGTATAGCCAAGAATAGTTATAAGTAGCGCTTTTGAGTATTTATCAGGAAAGTAAGCATTTGTTATGCAGTAATTTTGTTGATTTAATGTAGCAATGATCAGGACCATCTAGGGTTAAAGGAGATCAACTTCCAGACAAACACCGATTAATTAACATTCGTTCGCCCACAGTCAGAATGCCTACGCCCACACGCCTGCGCGACCTCATCCGACAGATTCGCGCCGCCAGAACCGCCGCAGAGGAGCGGGCGGTGGTCAACAAAGAGTGCGCCTACATACGGAGCACGTTCCGCGAAGAGGACTCCGTCTGGCGGTGAGTCATAGTCCCCTGCTCAAGTCCCATTCCCATTCTAATGTTTGCCTTTTTGTGCCCACAGCTGTCGCAACATTGCCAAGCTGCTGTACATACACATGCTCGGCTATCCGGCTCACTTTGGCCAACTGGAGTGCCTTAAGCTGACGGCCAGCACGCGATTCACAGACAAGCGGATCGGCTACCTGGGCGCCATGCTGCTGCTGGACGAGCGGCAGGATGTCCACCTGCTCATCACCAACTGCTTGAAAAAGTATGATTCGCCATGAAAAGCTAGCAAAGTCATTGCACGTACTCCTTTACTAATGCTTAAACACCTTACTCGTAGAGCATAAACTAACAGAATACCTTAACTTAACTCATTGCTAATTAAGAAATTAAGAAGATAGGGCAAAACATGGACTATACTTATAAGAAAGAACAAAGAAACGGGTATTGTGTAACCAATGACTTGCTCCTCGGCGACTCTAAAGCTGTCAAATACTAATTTTTGTTTAATCTTGATTGCAGCGACTTGAACAGCTCGACGCAGTTCGTCGTGGGCCTGGCGCTGTGCACTCTGGGAGCGATCGCCTCCCCGGAAATGGCCCGGGATCTGGCCAGCGAGGTGGAGCGCCTCATGAAGTCCCCGAACACGTACATCCGCAAGAAGGCGACGCTGTGCGCCTTCCGCGTCATCCGCCGTGTGCCCGAGCTGATGGAGATCTTCTTGCCGGCCACGCGCTCTCTGCTCAGCGAGAAGAATCACGGTAAGTGATTTATATTTCCTATCAATTGGTTAAATCCTTACTTTTGTTTTTACCAACCAAAATTAAGAACTGGAAAAAACGTTACTTATCCACAAAAATATACTCAGTACTTAGTGATAATGTATTTGAGAAAGTTTAAATATTTTGAAAGGGTAAATTTGAATTAGCATAATTGAAAAGACAAAATTTTGAACTATTTGAA